CACGTTTATTGAAGTTACTAACATGTATATTATTTTATTGTTTGAGAATGTTCAATATAGTTGCAATATTGCATCAAATCAATTATTAGAATTTAGTGATACTTTAAATGTTGCATTTATAAAGATTGAGGCAGCACATAATTAGGAATGTCCTCCAACTTCATAGTTAACAAAACTACCCTTTACTTTTTATTTCACTTCTTCTTCTAAATGCCTCAAATTATACATATAACATAAAAAGTAATAAATCCAATATAAAATTATGTCGTTTCAATAAGTTAAAAGTAGAAACGGTGCCGTATTTATTATCCCAGCAGAAGCTCAGTACATTTTACAGCAAAGAAACCGAATCCAAAGAAAAAAAAATAGAATAGTATAGTGGAAAGGAAAATCGTTTGTTAAGAAGTAATGAAAAAAAAATGTTTTTATTCTAATATAATTTTATTTACATTTTTATATTTATACATTTTGTAAAGATTTACGTAGTTCCCCCACCCTTTCAATCATTTGAAATAGCCATATGGGTATTATATTTGCTTTTCTAATATCGTGTTATATCTAAAGTTAACAAAATTATGAATAATTCAAAATAAAAAATATAGATAATTAAAAATTAAAGAATTAAATTGTTAAAAATTGTAACATCCCAAAAATACAGTAATCACCATATAATAGAGTTGATTACATCTAATGATAAACCAATTCAGTTTTATACTAAACCAACAAAAGATTCTGGCCGAACGGCCTTACATAGCTTGCCAAAAGTAAACTGCACAAGATTCAAGGGAAACATGACCGAACGACTTACAAAAGTCAAATTACCGATCGGTCAAAAATAACAAAAGGAAAGAAAGAGACCGAACGGTCACTTCATGCTAAACTACTAACTACAACCGAACGTCCTACTGTTCGACCTTTACTTCCACATCTACGAGGTTCGCGTCTTCCAAAACTTCTTCTTCTAGCGCCTCTACAAGAAGTGCGTCTCCCTCTGCTCACATCCACACGGATGATCATCGCAACGACAAGACGGACGTACAAGAACGAGACAACACAAGGAAAACACATGGTAAGCTTATGTAATTTAATTCACACATCAACATATAATTTAAACATTCCAACAACACAAGTATAGTTCAACATATATATAATGATACGGAAACTATCACTAGACGGACCGTCCGGACTGTATGAATCTGTGTAGCTACAGGCATTCTTGCACCCGGGTGATGTAGTAACTGGAATACTCTCATCAGCTGCCACACGAGGTTAATCCTATTCATCAAAAGTACCCCTAAGGACGGGACCTCCTGCCGTTTCCACACATGACCTACCCTCCTCTACGTGAGGACAAGTACTCACGAAACATCAGGATGAACAACCAGCAATAGCATAACCACAGTCATACTTTACAAATCTCAATAGTCATCCAAGAGTCATTCCTCCCCGAAACGCTCGTTCAAAAGCCACAACGTTCTTTTCATCTCATGTACTCATCATCATTTATTATTCACTATTCCACATTCATTTTTATCATCAATAGGAAGACCATCAAATACCGAACGTTCTGTCCACACTAAGAACGAGGACGAACACTGTGGACGGGACCAGGAAGACGCCCGTTCCAAATCAGAATACGAACGACAGAGTTACGATCAGATTTGAGTAATATCAGGTTCCAAGTGACGAACGTTATTTATCATGTAAATCAGTTGAATGAACTGACTCTCATGAGTTCAAACCAATACTTCAAGAAATAAACCGAGTGTGGAGACTCTGGGCCAAATACTTCAAGGGTAGACTCATCAAGACGTTAACGAACCATATTTAGGATAGTTCTCATACTGAAATCCACTACCAGTCAATAACCGAACGTGGTAAAGGAAAGTCCTTCTGAAATTGGAAGTACGCTATTTCATTTAGACTAATTTTACAAGAATGAGTACGAGCGCTCAGTATAAGACCGAGCACCACTTAGAGCGAGCGCTAGGTGTAAGACCGAGCACTTCTCAGTACGAGCGCTTGGTATAAGACCGAGCACCATTTAACTTATAACAGTAGACTTGATAATTATACTAAGGGACTTTCGAAGTAGTGTTTACGAACGGAAGAATATACTATTACATATATATATATAAAAGAATGGAGTTTATCAAAGAATACCAGATACAACAGTGCTTGGCCGAACGCTCAAGCATAGTATTATAACACGAGGACGCTCGTCCTCAACTAGGGTTCTATCCAAATGAAAGAATTGACATTTCAACTATGTTACAAGGGAAAACCGAACGGTCAATGACCATTCAGTAACGAATGTATATTGTCATGGGGAATTCATTTTCAAGTCCATTTACATTCCAGTTCTTTTCTCATTATGCAATCTCATAGTTTCATGCGTTCATATCAACATCAATTTCCATATTTCATACAATCCATATCATGTAAAGTCATGTATTTCATTCCCACTCATAAATCACGAACATTCATGCAATTCAATCACGTTAAACATCATGCATTATACTCATGCAGTCAAGTAACAAACGTTCATACAAAACACAACATACGAATTAAATCAAATAAGCTTCCCTTATCTCTGAGCGTGAACGAACGTTCTCAGATATGGGCTAGGGCTCTCCTTCTAACAGAGGTCTCAACGTTCTACAACACGTTCTACAAACTATAACCAACATAGACCAGACAAATACTCAGAATGATAGATTCAACTCATGCAACCAAGAATTTGGGTTTGCATGTTACGGAAAAAGGCACGAATGGAGGAAAGATGAACTTACCAGTTCAGAATCTTAAACTGATCGGTTCAAACGATCGTCCTCTACGCCGAAAGTGTAGAACTGGTGCCGGAATATTGATCGGAGGAGAGAAAGTGAGTGTTTTCTAAGAGAGAAGATGAAGAGGATGTAGAGAGAAGGAGGAGAGATTGGGATTCTTCAGAAATCTGAAAAGAGGGTGCATGCAGAGAGTGGAGTAGATTTTTCTGAAGATTCAAGTTTTGCTCCACAGTCGAGAACGAACGTCCCCTCTTCAGTCGACACCTGTTTTCCACTAACTGATTTCCGGGTCTCCTTGGCTTGACACCTGGCGTTCATCATCTGAGTGTCGAGTCTCCCTCTTGACACATGAATTCCACTAATAACACGTGCTTGGATTTTACTGGTTTCTTACTTTTGATTTTGCTGGGTCTGACAAAAATCGATTTTAGAAACTAAAAAAAATACATAAGTTAAATGTTCGGTTTGTTTAAAAAGTATAATAAAATAAATAAATAAATAAATAATTATTATAAATAAAAAAGGGTTAAAATAAATTAAAGATATTTGATTTAAAAATGAAAAAGAAAACGTAGAAGAGATAAGTAAATAAACAAATAAAGTGTTGACTGGCCATCCATTTATTATTTCAATATATTAAATAAACGTGGTTTTAATCATTAACAAAATGCTTAAAAAAGATATATTTCTATTATATTTTTTATCATTTAAAAATGAAAATAATTTGTAACAATTTTCATATTTATACAATTGATGGATTTTGATTTCCTCACAAAAAATTATATCTTGAATAAGGATTAAAAAAAAGTTGAAACGGTCCTATTTATGACTAGTAAAAGTACCAGTCGTATATCTTGCTTTGTATTGGTGATTGGTCTCCATAATTTGAACTTTGTATGATTTTTGTATATTCCAATAAAAAATAAATTTTATAATAGACAATATAATTAAATTTTTAAAAGTATTGAACTTATGAATTAATGAGTGATTTTGTTATTGATCAAAATTTTCACTCCTGTTATTAGTAGGAAAAATTAGCTTATTTATTTAAAATAAATATCATAAGTATACAGCACATAAAAATTAAAAGCAAGTTAAATAAAATAAATAAATATAAGCTTAATGAATCCGCATGGCCTTACAATATCATTTAATTATAAAGAGTATACTCTACTTTTTGTTATTTTATTTTACGTTTGGACTTTACTTCTAACTTTTAGGAAGTTTAATTTAGCATTTCAAGTTTTAGAAAGCTGATTATGATTATTTATATTTGTTAGAGTTAAGCCGAGTGTTAGTTAGTTAGTTAGTTGACCAGGACAGCGGTTGATTAATTGTCCTTGACAGTTGTTTTTCATTTTATAAATATTGGACCTCTATACTTGTAAATAGTTGAATTTGAGATCAGTGTGAATATATGAAAATTTCTGTGCATTTGAGTTTATTCTTTCTTTCTCTGCTCACCTCCTTGGTCATTCGGTGTTGTACATGTTCTTGCTGGGTCGTTCTCGGTCGTCTATGATGTAGTGTTCTGCTGGTGTGTCCATAGCGTTCGGTCAGATACACTTGGCATCACAAACCATTTGGTAGGCGCTCGGTCCAAACCCTCGTTCTTCTTTTGTTCCAACAGTGGTATCCATAGCTTCAGGTTCGTGACTTGGGAGCTTCAGAAATCATCAAGGGCTTGGCGAAGGCTTGGCGAAAAGGTGATTGAAGCGTGAAGAAGATCAAGATTGTGTTTCTTGGTGAAAGATCGAGGGTGTAAAGAATGGCCAGCAGAGATATGTTTGTTAATCTACCTGTTCTCACAAACAAGAACTGGAGCAGGTGGAGCACACAGATGCGTGTCTTGTTTCGTATTCAAGATGTCAGCAGCGTGATGGAGGGAGTGGTGTCTACGTCTAATTTGCGCGGCACAAAGAAAGAGGAGTTTAAGAGAAAGATGATAGAGCCTTGCTGATTATCCATCAGTGTGTGGATGATATGCATTTTGAGAAGATACAAAATGCGGCTTCAGCAAGAGAAGCATGGAACATCTTGGTGGGCTACCATGCCGGAGGAGAAAAAGTGAAAAAAAGGTAAAGCTTCAAGCGTTGAGGAGACAGTACGAGCACCTACTGATGGAGGATGGTGATAAAGTGAGTGAGCTTTTCAATAAAATACTCTCAATTGCTAACCAAATGAAAAGTTGTGGTGACACTGTTAGCTCTCATGGTAATTGAGAAAATAATGTTGTCACTGCCTCCAACATTTGATCATATTGTGGTGGCAATAGAGGAGTCTAGAGATCTTGAAAAACTCAAGATAGAGGAACTGCAAAGCTCTCTGGAGGTGTATGAAATGAGGATGCGGGAAAGAAATCCTATAAAAACCGATGAGCAGGCGTTGAAAGTTCAACACGTCAAAAATGAAGAGAAGAAGACAACCGAAAATGGAAAGGGAAACATGGTAAAGGGAAGTGGAGAAAAGATAGGAACAAAGATGACGAGAATGAGTCTTCAACAAAGGAGGAAGGCAAATCTGAGAAGAATTTCCACAAGCAGGACAAGAGGAATATTGAGTGTTTTAATTGTCATAGGTATGGGCATTTCACTAGTGAATGTTATGTTGAAAAGGAAGAACAGAAGAAGAGTCAAGGAAAGGAGGCCTACGCAGCTCAAGTGGAATCTGATTCAGAAGAACCCATCATATTGATGACAACTACATCTAAAGTAAGTTCACATTCTCAAGATAAACTGTGGTATTTGGATTCGGTATGTTCGAATCATATGACTTGCCACAGAGAATGGTTGGTAAATTTTGATAAAACCAAGAAGAGTAAGGTGAAATTTGCTTATGACAACACTTCAAAGGTAGAGGGAGTTGGTGATGTTGTTATCAGAAGGAAGAATGGCTTGCGTGCCATTCTAACTAGTGTGTTGTTTGTGCCTGCAATAAGGTACAATCTCCTGAGTATTGGACAGTTAATTCAAAAGGGTTTTACGGTAGTAATGGGAGGCTTCAATAAGGTTGAAGTGTTTGATAAAAAGAAAAACCTGATCTTGAGGAGCAAGATCTCGAAGGATAAAACATTTCAGATCAACCTAGTGAAGTCTGCAATGTGTGAAGAATCTGGCAAGATGAATACTGATACACGGACTGGTAATGAGGAATGTCTGGTACACGTAGCTATGTTTGCAGCTGCAAAATCGTTCAGTCAAGCAGAAGCCTTGAATATAGCAGGCGCATAACCGATCGGTCAAACCGAGACCTTGAAGAAATTCGTGTGGAAGGATCCAATGAGAGAAGAAGTTGATTCAGTTAGGAAGAATGGAATCTGGAAGCTAGTTAACATTCCAGCTGGGAAGAAGAAGAAAAGCGTTGAAGGGAATGCTGCCAAAGAAGCATGGGGAGTACTGGTGAACCGAGACATGGCGAACACCGTTCGGTCACGTCATTCAGCCACACCCGACCACAACATTCATTCAACCTAGCGAGGCGTCACTCAAGAGCGTCAAACTGGCAACCACACTCAAACCGTTCGGTCATGTCACTCAGTCGCTGAACCGTTCGGTCTTGGTCGCACAGCTCGCGCAAGTTGGCATTCGCCTTCGTCACGTGATTGGCAGGAACAATTGCTCAATGGACTGGCAAGTGTGAGTTCTATGAGTCCTAAACACACTGTTTGATCACACACAATTCGGTCTCAACGTGGTGCGCGAGATAGGCTGGCAAGGATGGGTGCTGCCTCTAAGTGCTCGGCTTAGAGGGGAGTGTTAGAATTAAGCCGAGTGTTAGTTAGTTAGTTGGTCAGGACAACTGTTGATTAACTGTCCTTGGCAGTTGCTTTTCACTTTATAAATGTTGGACCTCTGTACTTGTAAATAGTTGATTTTGAAATCAGTGTGAATATAGGAAAATTTCGCGTTTGAGTTTTACTCTTTCTTTCTCTGCTCACCTCCTTGGTCGTTCGGTGTTGTTCGTGTTCTTGCTGGGTCGTTCTAGGTCGTTTATGCTACAGTGTTCTGTTAGTGTGTCCATAGCGTTCGGTGCTGAAGCATTACCAACCATTCGGTTAGCGCTCAATCCAAACCCTCGTTCTTCTTCTGTTCCAACAATATTATACAACTACGGAAAAGTTAATTGGATGTGTTCTATATAAAGAAGTATTTGAAAAAAAAAATCAATAAACTATATTTAGAAGGATTTGTCATGTTTATCACTAATCCTCCTAGTTATTATGTGTTAACAATAAGGTACAATGGTTATGTTAATTCTAACCAGTGACTAAACATGTTAACGTAAAAGGTTAATTTAATAAGTTGGGTTATTGTGGAGGATAATGTGATTTCAAGCCACATTTAGCCAAAATGTTAAGCCAATTAATGCAATTCGGTTATAGATATATACTTCTCACGTTGTTTCAAAGGACAATATTAATTTGTTAGACAAAAATAATTTATTCATAAACAATCTAATTAAGTTATTTTAATAGTTTCACAGATGATATTTTAATATTCATAGAATAGAATAGTCTTGACAAAAAACCTTATCATTTATATCATAACAACATCATTAAGTTTTGATGAAATAATATTTTGATATAATTGTGTTTATCAAGGCAATTACACTATCAAGAGAAAGTAACTTTGGTCTTTATAAGTAAGAAAACAAGTGATATATATATATATATATATATATATATATATATATATATATAAGAAGATGTGGTTGAATTGTGTAGTGAAAAATCTCAGCAAATTGTTGCAATACTTTGTCTAATAGACGACCTGTCAAAATATGTTTTAAAAAACTTAGCTTGAGAAACTCTTCCTTTTACTTAGTTTAGGTTTGATAACATGCAAAATAAAACAGATTAAAAATAAAAAGTATTTACTGAAAGAGTTTTTATACTAATTTATTTCTCCATGTATATTTGACTAACTTGTGAAGTTTCAGTATGGAAATTAACGTTGCAAATATACAATTGAATACATTATGAAATAAGTTTTTTACATTGTTCAAGGTCAGTATTGAAAAAAACTAAATTAAAAATGATTAATAAATATTTAAATTAGACATAAGAAATGCTCGAATTTCGTTGTTATATTATTATTTGATGTTGGAATCTGACAACTTTACACGTTGAATCTCATTTTCTAGATGTTATATAATTTCATGAATTATTTCAATATGCACATAAGTGATTTTTGGCTTTCAAATAAAGCAATTACATATTTGAAAAGTGAAATTGTGACGTGAATTGATTGACGTTGGAGTTTCACCTTTTAGACTTATATGTTCATGAATTCATTAAAACGTTTAGTGAAAATAGGTGAATTTTACTATCTTAAGATGTCTGATACTTCAAATTTCGACGTCAACAGATGAAGAGACTGATGAGGACGTAACCAAGAGCAAGGGAAATTATCCACTTAAAGGACTTGGAGGACCTATGACAAGGACTAGAGTAAGGAAAGCAAAGGAATCTCTTCAACAGATGTCGTCCATATTAATTTAATACACGCCCAAATTTTGAGGAGAAAAAGCCAAGAAAGTGAATTGCATTATGGCCCAAATGGAGGAGAACTAAAACACTATTTTGCTGCTCTTTTATTTTATAAGTTAGTTTGTTTTTAAAATAGCCCAATCTCTTTGTAAAATTGGTTGACCAAGTTATTTTTTTGGGTCAATCAATTAGCGGTCTTTAGTTTGACTTTATTTTCAAGTTGTAATAATGACTCAATTTTGAAAATTTAAACATAAATTATGTATTTTCATCAAATGCACAAGTCAATTTTTTATACAGAGAAATTAGGATTGTATCCCTTTTATCTTACTGAAGGTGATTATCCTAAGTTCTTGAGTGGTTTAAGAATCCTTGGTTGTACCAAAGGACTTTCCATCCTTTGTGTGTTACCTTCAATGGAAGAGTGATTCTTTCCTTTTATTTATCTTTGTTTCTTTGTTGTTCTTTGTCCTTCTTGATTTATAGAATCTCAAATTCTTTCTAGTTTATCTCATAGTAATAACTTGCGTTCTACACATCCAAATTGAGTGTTTTTTAGCTTATTTTGTAGTTCAAAAAGTGATTTTTCACACCAGTCTGGAAACACCCTCATAGTTCTGTAGCTCAAGATATTGACGTTTTGAAAGTTTTGTTCCCCATTTTTTCCTAAATTTCGAATTTTCTTTAAAGGTTTTAACCTTAAAGATCCCCATCAGCCCTTAGAAATATCATTTAAGATCCAAAAATGCATAAGAACAATCTTGTAAAGAAACACAAATCTTAAAATCAATTCAATGATAAAATACCTCAAATTGCTCCTAATAATCATATTCGTCATCTTCGTAAGAAGAAATGTATAAACAAAAATTGAATGGAGAACTTCTAATTTGAAGTAAAAGATTTTTTTATTGAGGTGAAACTTTTCTAGACCGGATACCTTATTATATAAATAAAAGATTTAAATAATGATATGATAATTATTCTTAAACAAATATAATCATAATAAATCAAAATAAAATATATTTTTAAGCTTAATATGGTATAATAATTTTGAGAAAATATTAAAATTGATCAATATCAAAATATTTAAATATTCATCTTTGAATAAATAAGATAATTTTAAACCACACAGAATATTTATTGACTTTCAATGCCCTTCTATTCCAACAACTCAGTATTCCAACGAATTAACTCCTGACGACCAGGAATTCTTTCACTAAATGAACCCACAATTTTAATTCCTAATTGGGCCACAAACTTTCTTTTATCAAATATTCCCCAAATCTATTTAAAAAACAAAATTTTATCATGAATTGTTTATTAAGCTACTTAATTTAAAAATTGCACATAAGCATTCTTAGTCACTTTTTATTTAACACTAATTGACACCATTAATGATCTAATTGCAACTATTTTTCCAAGAACTAATTTGAAAAAAAAATTTATTTGAAATTTTCGACAAATGGAATTATTTAACTTAAAAAAATTTATAACATATGAAAATAGAATAAAAGAATACATATACATATACAATAAAAGACTACACACAAAAATATTCCTAACAATAAATATATAATCTAAATATTTTAGATTATATAAAATTGACTCCTAATGTATATAATCATAACACAAGATTTTCTAACTTCTACAAAAATCTCTCTACCCAAAATCCAAAATTGTTCTGAAGCTGCAAAAAAGGTCTTTTAAGATTCTTGAGACAAGCTATTGAAGAGTCATGTTTGTGTTTCATAGGAAAGTAATCGTAGACAGTTGCATATGTTGTCACTGCTGATCATTCTTCATATACTGTTGAATTTTTCATGTGATGATGTTGTGGATGATTGGAGCTGCATCTCAGTTTTAGAGGTAGTGTTTGAGGATGATGAACTGCAAGAAACTGATACATAAACTCCTGCTGGCCTCACTTTTGGTAACTGCATCAAAGGTTCATTTGGGTTCTGAAAAATGTTCACCACTTTTCTCATCCTTGGCCTCAACATGGAATCAGGATGCAAACATGCCAAACCAACTATCAGTGCCCTTTTAGCTTCTTCCTCATCAAATTTGTTCTCTAGTTTTTTGTCAACACACTCAACCAAACCATTTTCTGCGTGCAAATTCCACACAGAATCCACAAAACTGTTCCCTTGCTTGATCCAGTTTAACCTTTTCCCACATATCACTTCAAGAACTACCATGCCAAAGCTATACACGTCTGATTCTGGTGTAGCTCTCCCTGTGAAGCTTAGTTCAGGAGCCAAATATCCTAGAGTTCCATTTAGATTTGTGGTCACTGAGCCTTCACCTTTGAGTAGTCTTGCTAGCCCAAAATCTCCTAAATGAGCATCGTGATTTGAGTCCAACATGACATTGTTTGGCTTAACATCTCTGTGAACAAAAGGGTTTCCACTCTCTTCATGAAGGTAGAGTAATGCTGATGCCAATCCTGTCAATACTCTGTGCCTCAGTTGCCAGTTCAGACTGCCTTTGGCTATGAAGTGATCAAGGCTTCCATTTTGCATGTATTCATAAACCAAGAGAAGATTCTTGCCTTCAATGCACCAGCCTTGGAGCTTCACTAAGTTTTTGTGGCTAAGACGCCCTATGGTACATATTTCAGCTAAGAACTCTCTTTCACCTGTGTACACACCCAAAGAAACAAGTGGCAAAAAATGGTTAAGAATAGAAGAACAATCAAAATCAAAGGGAAATTATGGAAGGTGTAAACAAATAAGAAGCAAT